GCGCGCGCGCCCCCAGCCACTGGCCGCCCGCCTCGGCGCTCTGGAAGACACAAGGCACGGCTGCAGGCCTGCCGCCGGGCTGCACCCCGGCCCCCGCAGCGCCCACCGCGCCACGCGGGCTGCACAGCACGGCGTCCACGTCCTCTGGTCCAACTGCGGCCAGGCCCTGGCAAGCCTGGTGCCGGCGCTCCTCGACCAGATCCCGGCCGCCGCCTGCCTGGGCTTCCTCCAGCCCTCAGCTTCTATGGGTCTCCACAGGAGGGTCCACTGCTGGCCGCGTCACGCCTTTCTGACCTTCCCCATTCCTGCACCAGGGACACCCCACGGCATCTGGGAGGCGGGCGGGGCGGTCTGTGCAGGGCTCCGGGGGTGGGCCTCAGCCGCTGAGTGCCCCTCTGTGCTGGGGCTCGCCTCCTCTCAGCCAGCAGCTCACGCCTCCCCACTCAGGGGCGTCACACATGGCTGTCACCCAGGCACCATGCCCTTCACCTGCACGCGCACACACGTGCCTGACTCACCATTGTACCGTTACACGCACTCGCTCCCACTCACACACATGCTCTCCACAAGTGTGCACACGCGTGCCAGGCACACGCCAGCTGGCACACAGGCCTGTACAACAGACAACACCTGGAGACGTGGGCACGTGCACACACACACACATGCAGACGGACACAAGGACAGGGTCTGGCCTACCAAGGCCTGCAGCTGCGGCCAGGCCCGGCAGGAGGCCTGGGGCTCACCAAACTGCCCGCCCTGCTGCCCTGCCAGCTCAGGCCCCAGGGGCTGGCCTGAGCCCTGTACCTTGCCCTCTGACGTGGCCTCCAGCTTCTTGGGCAGTTGCTCGCCATAGAGCTGGCCAGCATGGGCCACCGGAGGCTGGGAACGGGCCACACCTGGGGACGAGAGCGGGGGTGTTGAGCGGGCCGCTCGGAGGTTGCCTCCCTACAGCTGGCCCGCTGCGCCCTGGCTCTCACCTGCTGAGCCCTCCGGAGGCTTGATGGGGCTATCTCCTGGGCTGGACTCCGAGATGGACTTCTGGGACAGCACTGTCGCCAGGAGCTGGAACCCAAAGATGCCAGCTCGATGTGCCGCTCTGGCCTGGCTGCCCCGACCACTGCCCCACCTACCTTGACTCCTTCTGAGCCCGCATGCAGGGCATGGCCCCCGCTGCTCCGGCTGCTGGCCACACCACTCAAGCTGCCACTGCGGTCTCCACCTGCCAGCGAGAGGGCTGGCTGAGGCCGGTGCTGGCCTGCCCTGGCCCACACTGGGGCCTGGCAGGAGTTCCACTCCCAGCACGCCAGTGCCCCCACTTACCTGTGAAAGGCTTCCTCAGCACCCAGATCTCCTCCGGGGGCACGGAGGGCCCCGCGCCTGCTGAGCTGCCTCCCTGGGGTGGGCTTGGCTCTGTGCCTGCCCGGGGGCCTGCAGGAAGCAAAGGCCACCTGAGCCCTGGGTTGGGGGCAGCAGCCTGACACAGAGGTGGGCAGCGCAGGGTGAGACACACATCACTAGGGTCTGCTCCTGCCCTGCGGTCTCCAGGGAGCCGAGGGTCCTCAGAAGACCCCCTACTCTGGAGTTCTGAGAGCAGGAGAGAGTGGCAGAGTCCAGGGAGCCAAGGACTGCTGGAGGGGGCGGCCTCCTGTGCACTGGGGAGTAGGGGGCCAAGGCACCAGCCCCAGGAGTGAGGTGAGCACAGCCACGCCTCCCACCTGTCCCCCTCCCTGAGCCACATGCCAACCTCCATGTTCTCTCTAAGAGAGGAAGCAAACCCGAGGGCCCTGACACCACTCGGGCTTTTCAACCTGGGCCCTGCGGCCTGGACCCGCTCCCCGTCACTCACTGCTCCAACCGCGTTGGCCTCCTCTTCCTTACACGTGCTCCTGCCACCCGGACTGCTCTCCCAGGACGGTCCCTCCTGCCTCTTGGGTCTTCTCTGACCTTCTCTGACTGCCCTAGCTAAAGCAAGCCTCTGCCCAGCCCTCTGCCCCTGGTCAGATGTCCCCTCCCTGTCTATCTCCCTGCCCTGCACCCGCTCCAGGTCAAACTCAGAGCAGGAACACTCATTGGAGTCCCTGTCTGTCCCTAGTGGCCAGCTTGGAACAGGGACTTTGTGGGAGAGCTGAGGAGGAGGCTGGCCAGCAGCTTGGCCCCACACCTGCAGGGCTGGACTCTGTCCCTGCCCTGCCGCCTGGCACACCAGGTACACCTGCCTCCCAGCCCTGAGCCCAGGCTGAACGGCTCCTGCCAGCTGCCCCAGGGTGGGCGGACTTACCTGCTCGCTTGACAATGGCCTCACCCAGGGAAGACGGGAAGTAGCCCACCCGGTCATTGCCTGTCCGGTTGTCATGGATACAGCCCTTCCAGCGGCCATCCGGGTGCTGCTCAAGGACCTGGCCAGGCAAGGCAGTGCGTCCAGAGCGACATCCCTGTGGTGGCCCGAGCGTGCTGTGCACCCGGGCCCCGCCCACTCTGCCAGGCCCTGGCGCCCTCACCGTGATGATGTCCCCGGCCTTGACGTTCAGGCTGGTGAGGTCATAGTTGTTGCAGTAGTCCTTGGTGGCCCGGACCTGCAGGGCTGCGGAGGCCTCTAGGGACATAAGACAGGTCCCAGTCTCGAGCTGGCCCCGAGGCCTGCCCCAGGCCACGGTCTCGAGCTGGCCTCCCAGGCGCATCGGGACTCCCAGTAGCCCACCTCGCAGGAGCTGCTTGATCTCCTTGGCGGCCTGGGATGTGGTGAACTGGTGCACGATGTCGAGGGCCGTCTGGCTGTAGGTGTTCCTCACGTGGGCGTTGATCCCGCTCTGCATGCACCGGGAGCGAGGCCCTGTCAGGAGCGATGCCAGCTTGGAGCAGGAGCCTGGCAGGCAGCGGGCGGGCAGTCCCTTCAGCAGAAGCCCTCCGCCCCAGCACCCCCCCCGCCACCACCTCCGCTTTGTGGATGGGAAACGGGGGGCTCAGAGAAGTAAAGTGCCCTCGGGACCCTCCCACAGGCCAGGGCCAGCCACAGCCACGCAGCTCCTTGGCGCGGCCCAAGCCCTGAGGTACCTGATGATGTCGATGTGGCCATTCTTAGCCGCCAGATGCAGGGGGCTGGTGCCATTGGGGTCTGCAGTGCCCCCCGGCCGGGGCTCTAGCAGCGCCGCACACATGTTGCTGCTCAGGAGCAGCTGCACGGGGGCGGCAGGGGCGGCCAGCTGCCTCACCTGCCCTGCCTGCCACACACGGCCAGGGCGGCAGGTGCGCCTTGCTGGGCGTCCCGGGGCTTACCCCAACACGGCCGAACTCGCAGGCCAAGTCCAGGGGCGTCTTCCCCGCGTTGTCCACCATGCACGGGTTGGACTGGTGCTGCAGCAGCATCTCGGACTGCAGGGCCGTGTGATCAGCCCGGCGTGTCCTAGAGCCCCCACCCAGCTTCCCGGTGCCCCACACGGGCCTCACCACGTCGTAGTGCCCATGCTGGGCTGCCAGGTGCAGGGGGATGTGGCCCTCGTCAGATGGGATGTTCACAGCTGAGCCCGCCTTCAGCACCAACTTCATGGGCTCCTTCCGGCCCTGCCAGGCCGCGTAGTGCAAGGGCCGCATGCCTGGGGACAGGCGGGCATTGGGAGTGTGGCCCCGACTCCCAGGACCTGCCCCAGACTGGACAGAGGCCCCAGGCGGGGGCCAGGCTTGCCTTTGTTATCCTTGATGTCCACGGCCGCCTGGGCCTCCAGCAGCAGGCTGATCAGCTCCGTGTTGCCATTGAGGGCTGCGTGGTGCAGGGCGGAGAAGCTGGGATGGGCAGAGGGCATGTAGGAGAGGACTGGGCACTCAGGCCTTCCCGGGTGCTGCCCACCCCTTCCGGGCTGGAACCACCCTGAGGACTCACCCATCTGGGTCCTGGAAGTTGACATTGATCTTCTTGGTGGAGCCCAGGAGCTCTGGGGAGGAGAGGCAGCATGGTAAGGGGCCTACCCAGTCCCTCCAGGGCCCGAAGAGCGGGGCGGGGGCCGGGTAGGCCAACTCCCCGGCAGCCCAAAGCGTGCCGGGCATCTAGTCCACCGGCTGCCCCCTCGCCTGTTCAACCCCACCCTGCACTCAGCTCCAGGTACCAGCCATCTGGCCTGGGTTCCCCCTCAAGATGTGGGGGTTACCAGTGCCAAGGACTCTGCCTGTCCCCACCAGGGGACAGACGCGGACTGTGCACCCACACAGACACACACGTGCGCGCACACAGGCTGGGCACCTGCCAATGGTGGGAGGGAGGGCCGCCCAATCTGTCTCTCAGAAGCACCCAGATGGGGCCGGGGGTGGCCAGGGACGCTGGAACACCCGGAAATGAGGGTGTCTCTGGGGGAAGATCTGTATCACCGAGGTGCAGCCCCCACCCCTCCCCTCAGCCCACCAGTGTGGATGAGGACTGTCCTATAGGCCAGTGCCCGAGGGGCCAGTGGTCCATGGAGGCCACGCCCAGGTCCCAGGCTCACACACCCAGAGCCCGAGGGGCCCGAGCCCTCTCCAGGCCTGTCTCCTCCGAGGGCCTCCCTCATCCTGGCCTCTATCAGCCGCCCGCCAGAGGGGAGCCCACCAACGCCCTTCCAGTGGGCTCAGGTCCATGGGGACTTGGGCCAATCCCTGCCGGGCCGGACCATGGTTACATAACCCGTTTGTGGGTCAGTCACTCTGTGAGGGGCTGGCTGGACAGAAGCCCCTTTGTCCAGGCCCAGGACAGAGGTGGGGGCTGGGGCCTGAGGACAGGAGAGCCCAGGGTGTCAAGGCAGCAGGGCTGGGGCAGGGCCTGTCCAGCGGCCCACAGCGGCCCGACTGCTCCAGCACGGTCTTCAGCCCCAGGTGTGGGGCCCCAAACGACCGTGTGGGGTCCCGAGTCTGTGAGGTCAGACGGGCCTGAATTCGAACTTTCACTCTGCCACTTATGAGCCCCTGTGGCCTTGGCACTGGCCCCCTCCCTAACCTAAAAAAGATGGTGCTGAGAGGGCCGGCCCGAGGGCGAGAGCATGTCCACACAGAGCAGAGGGCGGCACAAGGCAGCCAGCACCGGCCAGAGACCCCACCCGCTCTCGCCTCTTCGAGGTCCTCTAGTGAGGCTGAAGGCCTCCCCCTTCCCGCCCTGTCCCTCAGCTCGGACACTTCACTGGCACCAGGTGCACCTTGGTGTCCCTCTTGGCCAGGGTCCCTGGCCTCATGTGCAGGGAAAGCTCCGGGCTCTCTGCTGTGTGCCCACACCCTGCCCACGAGTGATTCCGCTGCCCCAGCCATTCTGAAAGCATGCTGGGAACCCAGCACTGCCACCACCCTGGTCTGCAACCCCACTCGTGAACACCACTGTCACCTCCTTGCTGGTATCCCCGCCTCGTCCCTGCACCCGGCCTGTCCTCCGTCCCTCAGAGGACAGTGGAGTAGGAGTCAGGACCCGCTGCAGTCCCGTCTCACTGGGGCAGGGCGAGGCTGGACAGTGGCTCTGCACCCTGTGCCGTCAGCTCCTGCCTGCTCTCACCCACGACTTTTCTGACCCTGCTCCGGCTGCACAGTCTCCTTGACGTCTGCCCCAGGGCCTTCGCACGGCCTCCCCAAGGATCCTGCAGCCTGCCTGCTGTCTTTCAGGGCAAGCCCTTCCCATTCCGGGCTGCAGCACCTCCCTCCTCGGCCGTCGCTGCCGGCCACACGTTTCTCTACGGTCCTCCTGCCCAGCCACTGAGCTATGCGCTCTGAGAGGACGGGGCTTGGACCAGTTTCGCTCACTGCCATATACGCGGTGTGTAGGAGGGGCGCTCCCCTGCCCCTAGCCAGGGTCCCCATGGGTGAGTGACCTGTGTGGGTGCCCGGAAGGCTGGCAACTGGTTGGACGCTCTGCCCATTCCTGCCTTTTGGACGAGGGCCTATCTGTCATGGAGCCTTGCTGGGAGCAGCTGCAGTTCTGCACCCCCAGGGCCACACTCAGGTGGCTCCCCAGGAGCGCTCTGCCCCCCACTCTTCTCGGCTCCCTTGTGACCCTGACAAGGGCTTGGCAGGCAACTGCCAAGCCAGGTGCTCTGAGCGGTCCACCAGGCCACAACCACACGGCTGCAATTTCATAGGG